GGGAGGGGGGGAGGGGGCCCTGCTCGGTGAAGAGCACGTCGCTCGAGTCACGAGAGTTGAGAGCGGCTAGAGAGTACGTCGTATACGATCCGAGGGGGTGCAGGCTCCTCCAAGGCTGCAAGTGTATGCGAACGTGCGCAATCACGCGAGCGAGTGGATTCGAGTGATTTCGAAATAAGCGACAATAATAATCGAGATTTTACGTACGTGTCACATACACACACACATACACACACACGCATACACGACAGGGCGAATTCGCTGCGACACGCGAATTAATTTCGCCGCTCGGATACGATTTTTCGATTGTATATATATCGGAGATTTCGTAATTTAGCGGGAATCTCGTTCACTGAGATCCCAACGGTCGGTGCCAACGGAAAGGACCTCTGTCTGATCCTCCTGCAGTGTTCGCATTTTTGTATTCGCGTTAATTCACATATTTAACGAACTTCCTTTAGACCGTATAGACCGATTAGAACGCTAATTAACTAATTACAATACATTACGATGATAATTATAATTTTCTAGACGAATCTTTAATTTTACGCGTACTTTCAGTGAGTTCTGATCTCTCGACGGAATTGGGATCGCGTGTATAGAAATTAACGCGCGTTAGTGCTCAGAAGAACTATTATTAAATAGTGACTTAAAAGTTTAGAAGAAAAAAAAAACTACGATAACCACAAACGAGGCAAGAAGGTAGTGAAATGCAGCGCGGAACTCCTCTCAGCTCAACCCTTTCCCGCGTTCGGCCTAATTATATATTCACGCTGTAGGTAGATATTATACTCTGCGGGAACGAAGCAATAGTATACATATATACATACACACATATATTTTACTATGCTGTTAAGAGAGTTATTCGGTTATCAATCTAACGTTTAAAAAAAGAACCTGGTCAGTCGCGATCGCGTAATCGCGAGCGTAATCGTTGATTCATTATCGAGACATTGTATACACGCATTATAGATTATACCGACATGCATCGTGTGTTAGCGTTGTTACCGTTTATATGTACTCTAAGACCGACGCACGTAATTTCTACTTTAGATTCCTCTCGAGATAAGACGCATCCCCGGGACTCGTCGCGACGCGACGCGACGCCACGCATCAGCAATAGAAATGAGGGAAAAAGAAAGAGAGAGAGAGAGAGAGAGAGAGAGAGAGAGAGAGAGAGAGACAGAGAGAGAGAGAGAGAGCGTCTCACCGACATTATTTCATCTGTTACGTTCGAATGCTCGAACGCACATGTTAAAGAGTTACACGACAGCGTCATAAGAGATACGTAAGATCGCTCAATTGCAATTTGCACAAACGCAAGTCAACCGGAATCGTTTTGTAACCGGCCGGCCGTGAGTGCGATAGCGCACGCAGGAGCGACCGGCGCGGCGGGGTTGATACGTGATCCCTTGTTTTGTATGCACATGCACGACGTTCACAATAAAAACGCCAGTGAGACATTAAACATACATATCATTTTCTTTTTTGCTTTTTCTTTTTCATTTTTTAAAAACACACTTTTACTTGCGTATGAGATTATTTTTCAGCGATGCGCCGAGGTTCTTGTCGAGGAATTGCTTGAAGTGTACGCATAAAAGCGCGAAACGGACAAAATCGAAAGTCGTCTCGCGTCTGATTTTTCTTCGGACCGCCGAACGTGTCAAAATGCCTCTAAAGTGATTTGACGTAAAAAAAAATTCTCCGTTTGATTTGAACGTATAAGAGATAAATTCAAGAGTTGTATTACGAAAGAGAGTTTACCGTCACTTTCGTCCCGTGTATCTTCCGCGAGTCGAGTATTACCCGTTAATTCGGGTTCGCGATTGAACAAATTCTTACGAAAGATGTTACGTCTGTCGAGAGGACTCCGGTGTCAAGGAGTCCGTCTGTTCGCGCCGCGGGACGGGAGGAAGAGTTGCGTCACACAATTTCCCGGCGGCGGCGACGACGACGGGAAGGCCAGCTTCGGAACCGAGGAACGGCACGTACTGACGGTTGGAACTAATCGAGGGGTCAACTACTACTTTAAAAAAATGTATAGTGATTGCCAATTATGCCACGGAAAGAACGATTTTGCTGGAAGGTCTAAAAATTTTACTAAACACAGATCTGAAAATAATTCTTGTTGAATCATCAAAATAATTTCGTTGGAAAGTCAAAAATGATGAAAGCATTTTTAACTTTCCAACAAAATTATTTTGATATTCTAGCAATCAGTTTAACTTTCTAACAAAATTATTTTGATTGTATAACAAAAATTATTTTCAGATCTGAATCCAGCAAAATCGTTCTTTCCGTGTGGCAATACAACACACTTTATTGCTAGTACTGCTATTGTATTGTCAGTAATATTGCCATCTATTACCTCATGTACTGCCACCTATATTGCACAGTATTGCCAAGTATTGCTAATGCATTGCTAGATATTGCTCGAGGTATTGCTACACGAAAAGAACAATTTTGCTGAATCCAGATCTGAAAATAATTTTTGTTTAATAATCAAAATATATTTGTGAGAAAGTCAAAATGATTGCTAGAATATCAAAATGTTTTATAGCAATACTTATCAGTTTTAACACTCCAACAAATTATTTTGATGATTCAATGAAAAATTATTTTCAAATCTGTATTTAGCAAAATTTTTAGACCTTTTAACAAAATCGTTCTTTCCGTGTATGTATTGATAGCGTATTGCTAGTATTGTTTTGTGCCGCAATACTATAGCAATATATTTCTAAAAAAATATATTTCTAAAAAAACACCGTACATGATTCCCATAGTGGTTGACCTCTCGGGACTAATTTGTCGAAGTACGCGAGATCGCGCGAGTATAATTGGCAAAATTCGCGAATCGTCCTATGTATATCGTCGCAAAGTGCGACGCCGCGCGCTTGATCTACGCGTGAAACAAACGACCTTACTCCGATGAACACAAATGAATACGGGAATCTGTCACCTTATAAGGTGAGCAGGACGAGAGGGGTACCCAGCACGAGCATGAATCTAAAGGAAGCCCTCTGCGAGAAGATTCCCGTGCACCACGATCTTCTGAGAAACTTTCGATTTCACTTCGGTCCGAGCGTCGTTAGTCAGATCACGGTCGAGGACCTGTACGCGGGACTAAGCGACGTGAAAACCATCGTCAAGGAAACCTCGGAACTTCATCCTAAACATGGCGTAATAATCGCAGAATGAATCGTTCAATTCACCTATCGTAGCTATTTATGTCGCATAAATTTAAAATATTAGATTTAAAAAATGGTATCATAAATTTTTCACGTTTGCAAGTTCAGACGTATCGCAGTTTTATTTCTTTTATAAATTAAGTGACAAGATATTTATTATAGAAATAAATATAAATAGATATGTTAATAGAATTAATAAGATAATATATTTAAAAATATATTATTTTTCAAGTGTGTATATGTGTCCATATATAAGAGATGATAACAAAATCAAATTTTTCATTTTCCTAAAAAAATTAATTTGTATTTCGCAAAAAATATATCACACGGAAAGAACGATTTTGTTGAAAGGTCTAAAGATTTTACTAAAAACAGATCTGAAAATAATTTTTTGTTGACTCATCAAAATAATTTGTTGGAATGTTAAAACTGATAAGCATTGCTATAAAACATTTTGATATTTTAGCAATCATTTTGACTTTCGCACAAAATTATTTGGTTATTAAACAAGTCTTATTTTCATATCTGGATTCAGCAAAATTGTTCTTTCCGTGTAGCAATATATAGAGGAGACCAGGGTTATGTTGATACATGGGGCACGTTAATATATTCAAAATTGCTGCAAAATGACAAACGGTAATATCGTATAACGGTATAAAAAATATAGTATTTCCGCAAAAACATTGCTTGTCATGCTGCAATAAGATATTTTGGACTGAATAGCATATTTTCAGAAATAAAAAATAATTTTAGTTTTTGATAGCCAAGAGTAAAATAAATCATGTATATATTAAATGTTATATTTATAAATCTGCTTATTATATTATAGCTCCAACTATTTTTTTAGAATCTTTACTTTATACGTAATAACTTACAATTATATTAACGTCTTAAAATATATTTTCTGCTTAAGTAAACAACTAAAATGGTAAATATGGTAAGTCGGGACTGGTTGTGACGGGGTATGTTGTTACAGTATTTCTTTTTGTTTTCAACCGAAACAAATTAAAAAAGTAATATTAGATTTCTGTAAACTTTCCTTAATGCAATCTTATATTTATATTTTTTTCCACTGTAATTTATGTAAGAGAAAGACTTATAAATATTATTTATGTTTATATCATTAATGTTATATTAATGTATATTCTATTTGAAAATTATAAATAAAGTTATGTTATGCACAATTTCTTTTATTTCCTTGTATTAAATGCGTTATATTTTGAAATCTGGATGTCTAACGACTGATTCCAGTAATTGTAACAATTGATTCCGCATGTGGGGTCGGTTGTTGCATCATTTTACATTTTCCATTAGTACTACAAAATTAAGTGTATTTTTAAATTATAAAAATAATTTCCGTTGTTGAAGCATGTGGCTGTTGAAAAATATCTTTGCGGTATTTATTTCATTTATTAGTTATATGTGAAAAAATCATTTAAAAAAAACTGTATCAATCAGTCCCGGTAACAGTCTCCCCTATAATATTGGATCACCCGGAAAGTTCTGTGGTTTTCAAGTTTGCACTTACGAAAACAGGTTCGAGTGTCATGTACGGTACTTTTTGCAATTTATAATTTGTCTGCCAGTTCTTGTACTGTATAACGAGAGTTTTTGGCGATGCTTGCTCCAGTAGATCATCATTTAGAGTGAAGGGAGCCCAGATCGTGTCTTGTCTTTGAGAGTGAAAACACCTTATTGAAGTTTCATAAACCATTTCTAAACTGTATCATCAGAAAAAGTATCTTGTCCGAGGATTTTACAAATTTTATGCGCTGTCTCGCATGCGTTCTTGCCCTTTCTGAAGTAGAAAAACATAATATTTCAAAATGTCTCTGATTCTGTATCTTTAGGGCACTATAGAATTGAATATACTGAACATATGGATGGATGCATTGTTTAAATAAAAGATTACTTTTTTAATCATTCCTCTTTTTTAATTTTTAATTTTTTTTCTCAATTCTAGATATTTGTAAGTACATAATTATTTTTAGAATCAAGGATAATCATAAACAAATATTTAAATCGAATTAAATAAGATGTTCGAAATAATCACCTTCGGCCCGAATGCAAGCCCTTATTACTTTATCAAAAGAATTCCGAACTTTTTGAAAAATATTTGGATCCTTCCGAATTATTACAATTGATATTTGATTAACTAAATTGAATTTAAATACCTGTTAACGTTTATCCTTCGTTCTAAAAATAATGTAATCGTATTTATATAAATATCGAGAAAAAGAAATAAAGAAGAGAGATACCAAGCGAACTATGCCTCCACGTGGTGAATTTTAGATAAAAAAATAAATTATTAAAAGTTATTATAATTATTATTATAAATTATAATTGTTATTGTAATTATGATTATGAAAAATAAATTACAATTTGTTTAACATAAAAGTAGTTATAATTCAAAAACGAATTATTTCCGGAAATATGTTTATATAACCTTTTTTCGTTCTTTTTAGGTCCCGAATCACCTTTCAAATTGCAAGCGATTTACTGGACACCCTGCATATACATAGTGCTCTATTTAAAAATAATCGTATATATAACAGTATATATAGGTATATTACATATGTATATATATATATATATATATAGATAAAATTATTATTTTTAAATAAAGCAGTTGAAAGTTGAAAAATGTAGTCAAATTAGTTAGATGGGAGAATCAATACAATAAGCTGAGTAATATTTCATCCAAGTAATATCCGTTAATACGTACTGGCACTTCAATCTTGTAAACAGCTCTGGAATATGTAATACAGTTAATCATAATATTACCACTCGACAAAACGTCTAGTTTCATCATTTTGTTGGACTGTGATATTTGTTTGTTCATCACGATCAAGTATAATTGAATCTAAATACTCCAGAACGATAGCCGTCAATCGCACATGAGACTCTCCAAATCGGAGGATTTAACTTGAGAGCTTTGAATATTATTGAATGGTTTATTGAATAAAAATATTAAACGCGATTTGTCAAATTAAAAAAAAACTATTGCAGAATGAAGTAAATATTTTTATTTTATAAAATTATTTGCATTGTTTAATTAATGTCAATTAATTGTTTCTCAAATCTGTAAAAATTTTAATTTGGACTATTTAGTTCTTGCTCGCAAATAAATAATTAAAATTTCAAAATTTGCAAAATATTTTTTTCCTACCCGGGAAAAAAAGTTCCACATATTATTATATATAATTATATGCAAAATGTCCATATTGTATGGTTCTTTCCTTTGTAAAATTATTCTTTAATGCAAAATTGATAATATATAATAAGAAAGAAATATAAAAAATAATTAAAAGAATAATTTTTACATTGTTTTTTTTAAATCAAGTTTGAAGAAATGAGAAAAATTGTTATATATATAATTATATATGTATATTTGTAATTATTTATATATGATTATATATGAACAATTTTTTTCATTTCTTCAAACATTGATTTTTTGTCAAAAAAACAATGTAAAAATTATTCTTTTAATTATTTTTTATGTTTCTTTTTTATTATTTTATCAATTTTGTATTAAAGAATAA